TGAATGCGCTTTGTGTCTTTTGCACGCGGCTCATCCAGAGCAGCAGTTTTGTGTCAAGACAACTACAGAGAACTTTTAAAGAGCTTGGTTTCCGCTACATTCATTCTTCCATGGCGGAAACCAAAATGCATCCAGCCACGGCTACATTCAAATTCAAAACATTCAGTTATTGTTGTTGTTGTTTTTAATAGCGGATTATAATAGCACCAAAACGTATTAAAAGGTAGATTATAACAGCGCAAACTTTTCTGTAACCGTATAGTGCTGTGCGCTGTCTGTTTAATCCTTTGGGGTTACGTGCTGACTGACTGACAGGTGCGCGATGCGTGATGCCAGCAAAAACGCAGAAGCTTTCAGTTAAGATGAACACAGTTTCTATAGTTATACTTTATTTAAAAATAAAGTATGACTCTGTATATAATCACTCTATCTTGTTGGAGTTTATAGCTGTTTCGCTTTACTTCAGGACGCATTAATGCCGCTCTGAAGGTCTAATCGCTGTTTTAAGTTATCCAGTTCTGGATGAATTTACAAATCTTGAATATCACAATATTATTAAATATTACAATTGTAACAACACAGACAGCAACACTTTTGCACAATCGATACCCAGCTGATTCAGTCGTTTCATAAGAGGACCGCACTTCTTCTCTTCTTTTTCTCTTGTCAACATAAAGGCAGTGAGGTGCGCCTCGCGTTCTTGGAATGAAAAAAGCACGTTAGCTGTGGTCGGCCACTTGTTCAACTGCGAGACATAGGCTACTTAACTTTGCGGGACGATAACGTATAACCCGTGGCTACTGACACATTTGCCAAAGAAGCAAAATGGAAGAAGAATATTGCTGTTTGAAACAGACGTGTTGATGCCAAAAAAGCGTTGATGTTGACCTGGATCTGCGTCATAAACGCAACAAATAGGCTTTACCTTTTATTTTACAGCTTATAAAGCATGTATGCACATTAATGCAATATCATATTTAAACAACACAACTGTTTACAAAAAGTCAACATATGTGCGTATCACGCAGCGAGCGCACTTGAACCGCGAGGGAGAGAAAGGTAACCATACATCAGGACATATTCTTTAAAATAATGATTTCTATTAAAAATGTAAAAAGGTTTCGTGATTAAAATAATAAATTAAAAGCGGGGGGCATTAAATAAATGCATATTTTCCGTGGAGCGGGCAATTTGAGGAAGTCAGCTATTTTTATTTGACGGAAGAAAAAAACATAGGATTGAAAAAAAAAAAAACAGCCTATGCCGGTTATTAAAAGAATCAGTCAGTATTTTCGTTTTGTAATATAAATTAATTATTTAAGTGAAAATTATTTAGGGCAGTCCTATTTACTTATTCATTTTATTTAGTTTATTCTGTTCTTCTGTGCTAAACACTGCAGGTGCGTGAAAATGCTCTGTTGTTATGTTCCGCTATTAATATTCTAACATTTAAAAATAAATCAGTATTTTAAAATGCAATATTTAATTTTTCGGACACAAAATAGTCACGTAAATTTGTTTAATGTAAAATTAATAGTAATCTGACCAGTTAACCGTTAATAACCGATTAATGAGCGGCGGTTGTCGGTTAGCAAAATTAACCTAAATGAGCATCCCAAATGTATATATATATGTACAGTGTGTGTATA